CCCACCTATATATGTATATAATATTTATAATATATCACACAATGTGTGTATATATATATGTATGTATGTATGTGTGTGTGTTGGGATAACTAATTTGATATTGAGATATCACAATCAATGAGATAATATTGTTTATCTATCTTTCATACCAAACGACCATTAAACAGAGGAGTATAGGGTTACCGGGTTCACCTAAGCCCATGCTCGATCTCCTCTTGAGATCATATATAGTAGTGATATATTTTTTAAAAATATTTAAACATAGATGTGTGAACCCACACTTGAAGTATCATATAATGTCATGTGATAATAATTGGGTACACCTCTCTAATTGAGGCTAGAAATTTGAATAATTTATTTATCTTGTTTTATTTTCCTTCCTAAAATTGGGTAACGCCTCTCTAAGTGGTTTGGATAGATGAAAAATAATTTTGGACCTATAATTTTAAAATTTTAATTATTTTCAATGATAAGAACCTAAATGTTAAATCGATCAAATTTATATCTTAAATCCACCTTTTCGTAATAGTGCATCCATCATCTCAAAATCCTAGATAGCCTCTGCCCTTTCTTGTCTTTTTACTCGATCTGCTTTTTAAAAAAAAATAAACATATATGTTATTTCCTTCTTCCTAAAAAGATTGTCTTAATTAGTTACTATTTGGACAGTTAAAAGATATTTTTTCGTTGATCATAATTTTCTTAAAATATTTTTTAATTATTTTGAATTTTTAATTATTGTGACTTATCATACTTTTTATATAGTTTTTAAATATGTAAATTTTAATTCAAATAAAATTAAAAATCTATGACCAAATCCACACCATACATATATTAGTTTGACCCTTGTAATTCATATCAATACAATCTTTTGGGATCGAGAGAGTACATTTTTTATAATTAGTAAGTAACTCTTTAATTTCAATGACTTACTTAATATATTTAAGATCATACGATTTAAAAGGTTTCAGCTTTTGTACATAATAACACACATTTGGTTCACACTACAAAATTTATAAGTCTCTTTTACTTTTATTAAGAAAGTGAAACTTAAGCTTAACTTAATCACAAAAGTTGGCTCAAGAAGTCAGAATTATTAAAATTACGTCAGAAGAAACTATCGTTCCACCACCGATATGGAAACACTAATACACAACTCATCCCCACACGTCCAAGCCAGGTGACTGAAGTGTGAACAAAATATAATATGAGAACCTAACATCATGAAACAAAAATTAGGTGGGTCTAACTTTGATTCCATGTTAAGAGAATGAAACTTGGGTCTAGAGTTATCAGTATGACCAATGCAAGCATCAATATATGCTTTCACGATTCAAACTTTTAACATATAGGTCACTGAAATGATTTTACTAGTACTTTAAGACTCCAATATTATTCAAATGAAGGAAAACTATATGTTAAAACATAAATAAGGGTAAAATAGACAAACAAAGTTCACTTCTTAAAAAACGTGTAAACAAAAAACACGTAAATATTTT